GTCCAAGCTCGGCGCCTCGTCTGCGGGCGGAGGGGCCCCTCGGCCCAGCGCCCGCCCGCGCCGCGCCAATGGGAAGGGGCGCGGGGCGCTGGAGGCGGGATGGGGCCCCAGCAGCACAACAAGGCAATAAACTTCTAGGTGGTTGGACGCCGGTGCCCGGGAGCTGCTGGCGGGAGGGGGAGGCCCGTCGGTGCCGAGCCAGGGCTCTCGCCCTCCAGGGGCTGCACCATTCCCAGCAGCCCGGAGCCGCTGGTGCCTCCATCCCACACGCCGGCAGCCGGCAGCGCCAGGCCGCCAGGCCGGAGCGGCTCACCCGGCCCCACCTGCCCCTGCCCCTGCGAGCTGCTGGGAAAATGCACCTCAGCGCACCTGCCCCTCCCCGGCCTCCCCGGCCTCCCCGCTCCGGCACCTCTGGGAGAGAGCGGGCGCAGCACCCCGCACGCCTGTGACTTCTCCCCGCCCGCTGGCGCTGGCCGCCCGAGTTGCAGGAGGCCAGGCTGAGCGCCGGCCGGCCACGGGCCACACCGGGAGCAGCAGGGCTGGAGAGTAATTATTATTTTGGCTTATGCAACTACGAGGCAGGGCTCCTTGTTGCCCACAGGGAGGAGGGGTGTGGGGCAGTTAATTATATAATGCTGCCGCTTGTCACCGCCGTGCCCAGCCCGGTCCCAGGCGGCCTCCTCTGTGCCGCCTTGTTTTCACGGAGCAGCTTGGAGAGCTCCCCGGCCTGGGGCGGGAGGCCCCGGCAGCCCTCTCCAGTGCCTGGGCCCCGGAGGTGGGCGCGCGTGGTGCTGCAGGCCGGGCGCACAGTGGGTGGCTAGGTGGGTGGCCGTGCCGCCTGGCGCTCCCAGCTGGGCTTCTTGGGTGCCCGGGGACCGTGCTCACGACCCCCAGCCAGGGCTGAGCCAGGCTCTGCGGACCGGGCCGTCCAGAGGAGCCCAGCGGTGCCGGAGGCAGGAGCCATGTGGCGCCACCGCTCCAGCCCCCGGGTGACAGTGGTCACCCCCGGCCACGGCGGGAGCGTGGGGAGCCGAGCCCGGCCCCTCTCTCCGTGGAACTCCCGGCGTGTCCGAGGGTGACGTCCGGCGCCCCCAGGAGCCCCCTTCCCTGGCGTCTGTGGTGCCGTGGCATTCCGTCCTCTCCAACGAAGAACCACGAGCACCTCCCTGTGCTGGGGCTCTGAGCACGGGCAGAGCGGGCCACGGTGTCCGCCTCGTGCGTCCACTCGGGGAGAGGGCAGCGCCGTGAGTGTTCTGGGCCGGGGGCTGGTGGCATGCTGGCCAGGGAGGCGCCTGACCCACCCTGGCCTCCTTGGTTGGGGGGAGGCAGCGCGCCCGAGCCCCCCATCTGCCTGCTGAACACTGTGGCTGGAGCGGTCAGGGTCGCATCCATTTCACAGATGGGCCCTGGGAACGCCGGGCTTTGGCGAGAGTGGAGGGCTTGGGTGCAGGTCCGCCCGGGCCAGCCCCTGTCTCCATCGGGGCCTCGTCTCCGGGGACCCTCTCTGCGGGGCCCACCGAGGCAGGCGCACAGACGCGGCCCAGCCAGCTGCCCCCCGTGCTGGCCACGTGCAAGACATGAGTCGAACTGGCCGTCCCGGCGGTGGCCACCAGGCACGGGCACCGGGCTGCTTTTCCAGAGCAGAGTCCTGCTTAGGAGAGAGCGACTCTGAGAAGCCGCCGGCCAGCAGCAGACTGAGCGGAGTCGGCGGGGCCAGACAGTGGCGTCCGTGTCTCCCCGCCAGCCAGTGGGTGTGCCAGGCGCGGCGCCCCGGAGCTCCGGCCACGGGCCCTGCCTCCACCCGCTGGGAGGGGGCCCAGGGCGTCTGGGTGCCGGCTTGGGGAGGGGCTTGGCGACCAGCGCAGGGCAGCAGACGCGCCCAGCCCTTAGCCCAGCCGCTGTCCCCGCGCCGGGCTCACTTCCTCCTCCGGGGCTGTCCTCTCTGCAGGTGGACGCTGCCCGCCGAGGCGAGCCCAGCCACGCCCACGGCTGCGGGTGACCCCGACGTGGGGCAGTGGCATGCCCCAGCCGCTGGGCGGGGCGGGGGCCGAGGGCTGGGGGAGCGGGACCGCGCACCACCACGTGGTCATGGTCCACGCGCCGCGAACATGCGCTCGGGACCACGGCCAGAGCCGGCAGCCGGACGTGGTGATGGTGATGGTGAAGTGGCCGCCACGGCCACGCTGGGCGGGTGCGGACGCCAGCGAGTGTGCTGGGGACCTTAGCGCAGAAGGAGCCCCGGCCCCACTGGCCTTCTCAGGCCCCTCACACGCCTGGGCAGGAGGCCAGGAGAAGCCCGGTGGCCGGCTGGCGCTCCTGCGGGCCCGGCCTGTGCCGGGCATCTGCGAGGGCCACTCCTGCCCCGTCCGCGGCAGAGTGTGGGCACAGGCGAGGGCGCCCGCCGGCGCCCGCCTCCCAAGTCTCCTCTGCCCCCGTGGGCCCGGCCGCTCGCAGGCTGTGTCCCTCCCGGTGCCCTGCACACAGGCCCCCGGGACCCAGAGTCACCCCCCACAAATAAACCCTCCCACACCCCGAAGACGTGAGTCATCTCACACACGCAGCCTCCCCTCACACAGATCCCTTCACCGGCCCAGATCCCGCTGCCCACACAGATCACACACGCCCACAGCCCAGCCAGAGCGCCTGCGCGGAAAGCCGCACCCCTGCCCCAGGGCGCCCCTGCAGGCTCCCCTAGGCCAGCCACGGCCAGCCCCGTCCGGCCACCTGCGCACAGCCGGTGCGGCTGGGCCCAGGGGGTGCTTGGCCGATCCGCCACGGCACCTCTCCCGCCCCGCGGTCCTGGCCCGGCGGACGGCCGTCCACGCCGCCCAGCTCCTCGCCCCGAGAGCCAGCTGGGACCAGCGCTGAGCTGTGGGGGACGGGAGACGAGCCCCTCCTCGGGGCGCTCTCAGCCTCCCTGGGAGGGAAGAGGCCCGTGAGGGGAAGGGAGCCGGCGCCGAGCAAGTAACTAGTTCTCGGTCACCCATGATGGCTGGGAAGGGGGTGTCGCCACAGCCGCCCCTCTATCAGGACCGGAGGACCCCAGGACCCCCGCCCGGCCAGCACCTGCCGCGAGTGGGCGCCCTGCCGGCTGGTCAGGAGCCGCCTCGCCGGCCGGTGAGTCCAAGAAGGGTCAGCCAGCCCAGGACTCCGCGTGGGTGAGAGGGCGTGGTGAGCAGTGGCCGGGGAGGG